TGCAGCGACAGCAGCAGGGCGAGCATCGGCCGCCGCTAGCGCAGCATCCCCGGGGAGCCCGCAGGGACCCCCCGCTCCCGCGGGGACCCGCCCGGCCGGGGACAGCAGGGCACGGGAGGGAGGGAGGCTGAGCCCCGCTCCCCGCTCCGCCCTGTCGGGATGCGGGGCTGGAAGAGGAGCGGGATCCGCCTTCCCCGGGCCGGGCTCAGCATCCCGGTCCCCGGGGCTGATGTCACCGGGAGCAGGCGCCGCCTCTCCGAGGAGGGGCTCGGTCCCGGGGCTGCAGCCCCCTCCCGCTGCAGATCCCCCCTGACCCTCCCTCCGCCAGCCCCGCAAGGGCTCAGCAGAAGCGGGGATGTAGCACTTGTGCGGGGCCGTGATGGGCTTGGCAATGCCGGGATAATGGCTTTTCCAACCTAAATTTGTGATTGATTGTGATTTGTTATTGTGGCCTTTCAGTGCTTAAACAGGACTCATTAAAAAAAAAAAAAAATAAAAAAAATGGGAGGGGGAAGTGAATTTTTACACAAAGATACCGATAGGACAAGGGGGAAAGGTTTTAAAATAAAAAATGAGAGATTTATATTAGATACTAGGAGAAAAATTTTACTTGTGAAGTAACTTATTCAGGGAAGCTGTGGATGTCCCAGCCCTGCGTGTCCAAGGCCAGGTTAACAGGGCTTGGAGCAACCTGGTCTAGTGGGACGTGACAGGATTTGGAACCAGACAATCTTTCATTTTCAACCCAAAACATTGTATTCCACAGCTCTCCCTGTCCAGCCTGAGCTGGGGCTTGTCCTGCTGTCCCCATGGCCCACATCCCCCCATTGTGCCCGAGCTGCTGCTGCGGTGTCACTTCCACGGCAGGCAGGGACCCCCAGGCTGATTTTGTGGGACATTTCTTCAGGAGCCTCTGTGAGCAGCCAGGGGGCACAGGGTGGAGGTAAAGGGGACCAGGCACTGCGGTGGTCACGGTGGGGCTGTGACCACCACCCTGGCACAGTGTTTCGAACCCGTTTGGTATCAGCAGGGAGCAAATACCCATTGCTTGGTGGAAATTCAGAGCAGCTCTTCTGGGTGGGCTCGGGATTTGCATGATAAAAGAAAGAGCAGAGGCAGCCTGGGCCTCTTTTGTTTTCTTTTTTCCAGGCCAGACGTGCTCAGGGCAGAAATGCTTAAATGCTTTGGGCATTTCTCGGTGTGCTGGGAGGAGCAGCTTAAATCCTTGACCCCAAAACCAGGTTGTTGCCAGGTCAGCCTGAGACTTAAATTCGAGTTGATGTTTGGATGTGACAGAGTCGCTCTTAATCCTCTCTGAATCCACTACGAGGGGACAGACAGAGGAAAGGGACATCATCCCACAAGGAGGGGACAGCAGACAAGGCACCCCGAGCAGCACAAAACTGCGGGAGAAGCTCGGCACAGAACCAGTAAGGATTTTCCTGATAAATTATTGTTACTCAGGGGTAACCACAGGGGCTGTTGCAGTGTAGAGCAGCAGGGGGTTTGCTGCCCGGGGAAAGCAGAATTCAAACCATTCCCTTTAGGCTTGTCCTGACTATCCCAGAGAGCTGTGCTTTTCTTTGCCTTTAGTTTTGCTTTGCTTTGGTTTTTGGGAGAGATTTCAGACCCAGCAGCCTGGAGTCTGGAACTGCAGCAGTTCCCAGCCTTGTCCTGGGGGTCAGCCCCGTTTCCCGAGTTCTCCTCACTGGCTCTGCTCAGCCCTTGGCCGGAGGAGCTCCCCCGGGCCCCTTTATCCAACCAACCCCTCTCCTGGGATCTGCTCCTGGCAGGGAAGGGCTCACTGAGCTTTCATGGGCCCCTGGCTGGTGACTGGGAGCCTGGAGCAGCAGAAGGGAGCTTTGTCTCAGCTGATCAGCCAAAGCAGCTCAGACAATGCCCAGCCCTTCTCCCTTAGAGCCTCCTGCGAGCCTGGACCCTCGCAGGGCTGTTGTCCCCCAGGACTGGTTCAACAGGGACAGGACGAAGCTGTGCTGCAGCACTGAGCTGGGGCTGGCACTTGGGGACAGTGCCAGCCCTGCCACAGCTGAGGCCAGGGGACAAGGAGCGGGGTGAGGGCCACAGGAGAAGTTCTGCCCCAAAAGCCCATGTCTGGTAGCTGCCCTCAGCTCCCCAGGGCTTCCAGGTGGAAATGCCTGTCTCAAAACCAAATAAAGCTCTTTCCAGCAAGATGCCAGCAGCAGATGATGCCAGGAACAGCCCGTGTCTGAGCTGGCAGAGGAGAAACCCCTGGAGAAGAGGGTGTTCTGCTCAGGTTTCTCTCCGCCACCCCAGACCTTGCATCTCTTAAAGCTGCACCACTCCTGCCCAAGGGCTGGGACAGATCCCACGGAGCTCCTGTCCCAGCTGAGATAGAAGAGACAGGATTGCTGCAGCCTCGTGTGCATTTGCTCCTTGCCCCTGATTAAATAAACATCCCAGAGATATCAGGAGCTGCCAAAAGAGCTGAATCAACATTAATTAGTAACCAAAAAGATTGGTTGGGAAGGGAATGATGGGAGCAAAATACACAGGCTTTTGTTTGCCTTCTGCAGTGAAAGCGCTGATGGCTCCTGCCCCCAGCCGCTCACCTCTGGCCTCTGGTCCCCACGCACAGAGGTGGCACCTGCCCCATCCCAGGTCACCCTGCCTTGAGGCTCTCCAGGTCTGTTCCCAGCCTTGACACTGAGAAAACTGAGATCCCAAGAACAAGCCCTCCAAAATGGTCATATTTTGGGCAAGTGTAAGCCCAGGGCTTTCCCCTTTGTCTTCTGAGCATCGCTCCCCTGTCTCATCTCATTTGGGCTTTTGTCTTTGCCAAAACAAGGCTGGGAAACAGCTGGTTGCTTTGAAATAAGTGTGGCAGGGCCTTAAAAGTGGCTCCTGACTGTCCTTCTGCTGTCCCTCCCCACTCTCTGAACAGTGCCCAACCTCCTGGTGCTCACACTCCTGGCAGCCCTGTCCCCCTCCAGACATCCCCGGTTCAGCATGGACTGTGGGGGAAGCTGGGTGGGAGATCATCTCTGCCCCTTTTCCCCTGCTCCGACCTTGGGCTGTTTGCTTTCTCCCTCCGGGGCAGGCTGAGCAAACAGTGGATGCTGGGGCTGTGCTGTGCTCCAGCCCGCACAGTCGCAGGAGGGCTGTGCTGCCGGACACCCAGGATGAGGCTGCTCTTCCCTGCCCTCGTGCTGGCCCTGCTCGCTGCCAGCCATGCTGCAGAAGGTGAGCTTCAGCCTGCCAGCCCCTTGCCAGGTGCTCTGGGGATGGAGCAAGAGCGGCTCCTGGGCCGGGTGGGGAGGATGGTGACCGTGGCCACGCTGGCTGTACCCTGCAGGATGGGGGTACGCTTATTTCAAACCGAGTGGGCAGCACACGGATGCCAGGGGTGCCTTGGCAAATCCC